TATATCATGTTTCACACCCTCTTAATTTATTTTTATTCCTATGTCATTCAGTCCAATAAACACTGTCTTTTGCGAATAAGATCAATAACAAATGTTCTATTAGTACTCGTTTTTTTTTTTTTTTTTTTTTTTTTTTTTTTTTTTTTTTTTTAGATTTAATCTTTTTCCTTACGGTCACGTATTTTTTGTTTGTAAAAGAAGAATTAAAGCTTAAAAAGGAGAAGGAAAAAATCACATTCGTTGACCGATATCATGCTGTCAGGGAAATGTGACATATTTCGCTACCATCATTGCAAATGCAAATACAAAAAAGTCGTATGTAAAAAGTGATAATAAGAAATTCATGAAAGAAATAATCAGCTTTTATGCTCCCCTGTAAAGAAATAAATTTTTACATACATCCTTTAGCACTAACGGTAGCGATTTGTGTTTTTGCTTCCATAGTTACGGAATGAACTTAATTCGTAACAAATAATAATAATATTAATTTAACATTTATCATTTGCTTAAATTACAAGATTGGTTCACACTATGGAATATTCGACTTAATCATGACAAATCCAAACATATAACATTTACTCTTCGAAAAAACACCTGTCCTCCAGTTTATATTGACAACAATAAAATTCCTTAAACGGACACGGTACTTTACCTTGGACTCACCTTCGACAGAAGGATGACATGGGGCCCACATGTTAAAATGAAACGTATGACACTTAACAAACGACTCAAATTACTTTACTCTCTTTTTGCCAAATCTTCAAAACTAAAACTAAAACAGAAACTGAATACATATACATACTTACTTAAGCCCATATGGACATACTCATCACAAATATACGGCATCGCTAAAAAGACCCACCTACAAAAACTTCAAACGTTCCAATCAAAATTATTGCGACTCATAACAAAAGCACCTTGGTACATGACTAACAAAACTCTACATACTGACCTCCACTTTCCAACAGTTGACCAACATATAACGACCCTATATCAACGATTTTACACAAATTTAAATGGACATAATAACAGACATGGCCACAGCTGACATACCTCAGAACATGAGCAGGAGACTAAAAATGCGTTGGATGAGGGATTTCCTTCCTTAGACAACCTAAGTAATTGGAACAAGTTAGGGAAGAGGTACTGCTGAGTACTTTCCTTCCCCATGCCTGTCATCTCATTATATCATTATCGCCATCACATTTGCTGATTGTCAACTTATTGTTGACGTAATAATAACGTAACATATTTAATAAACAAAAAAAAACATTTATTTTAAAATTGAGTTTGTTAAATATGCCAATTGGTGAATCATTTATTGTATTCACAACTTTCATAACTCAAATGATAAAAGGACAAAGCTATCCCTAGATAGCCAGGTCAAGCTATCTCTAATAGCTTAGAAATGTTATCTAGGAGGTACCGACTGGTCACAACAAGAACCATTATAAAGACTTAGGGAACAATAACAGATTTCAATAAAAGGTATCTTTTTCACAGGTCTCATGTCAATACTAAAGGATAAAGATGTCAATTCTTAATAGTTAATAGCTCCAGTCCTTTCTCACAGAAGAATATCAATTATTGATAATTTTCTTTGGAGCCCTTTTCCAACTTCCCCTTACCCTCTTGCTATTCCTGGGCATATTACCCCCATGATCCTCTGGACTAATCATTCTGGCAGTTACATTCATGAAGTCACACTCTTGTAGGAGATCTGAAGAGAACTCTTGTAATCAACCCATATATTCATAGTATTAGTCTGTATTTTAAGATGCCATTTGTAACAGACATTATGAATAAAACTATTACTTATAAAGTCTTCACTGCCTCCGATACGTTAACCCATGATAATCCCTATATGATAAACTTACAATTTATGTAGAAATTGAATAATAATGTTTGTCATATGAATGAAAATATCCACTCGTATTTTGGACATCAATAAACAGATTTATCGCCATGTTGGCTTATTTAAATGTAGTCAAATTCATCTGGTGAGTATAACACCTTATGCAGTTAATTCAATTTTGATGATAACAGTTTCAGAAAATGTACGGATTGGTCTCTTCGTCGATTTTTCTAATTAAATTCACTTATTTCGCCTATGTTTATACATAATTGTTCAAACAAGCAATCCCTTCAGCCTTATTTATTTGTATTAAGAAATATCTAAACTCAGCACTGAACTCATTGATGGTATCGGAAATCAGGCTATTTCTAAATTCGTCAATAAAATCACCGTCCCTTTATTCATCGAATGAATCACCGATGACTCAGTCGTTCTGTTATTTACATATGCTAGAGGTAACCTCAGTTTTGTTCAATTTCTCTAACATATTTATGTATTCAGTTTACTTAACATCTATATTTATTTATATCAGAGAAATTTGTTGGGATTTCAATCATTGAAGTACACAGAAATAGATTATATTAGTTTTCATTGTGCCAACGTTTCGGCCCAAGTTAAATGACTTCATCAGGGCTAAGCAAAGACTAGATAACAAATAAATACTGAAAAAGCAATAGAAATATAAAATATTTATACTAGTCTAGGTAAGTAGTTAAACTTGAAATTAATAAATATATAGAATGGGTAATATATGATATATAAATTTAGGAAATTATATAGTTACGGAAAACAAGTTAGGACAACAAAGCAAGGAGAAACTAAGTTCATAAGTTCTTAAATTTATTTTACATATGCCAGTCTATTATTTTCTCAGTATTTAATTGTAATCTAGTATTTACTTAGCACTGATGAAGGCCTGAAACTAAGTCCGAAATTTAGGTACGTAGGAAATGAACATAATTTATTTTTGTGTGCTTTAATTACTACAATCACCAAAAAAATTTTATTATGCACAATCAATAGTCAACAATTTCTTTACCATACATTTATTTATATATGAAATTCAACAATTCAGTAGGTTGGTATTTTCAGCTATTCAAAATTCAATTAGGTTTTTTTTTGTTTCCTTTGGTTTCTTTACTTTCCAGTAATGTCAAACTTCGGCTGGAATCCATCACGTCGTCCCTAAACTCATCTTAAATCATTGTCAATCGGTACTGGATTCAATTTATTGATGGATTCCATCGGAGGATGCGCAGAGTTTAGAAACTTTCCCATTGATTCTTTGAACTTGTTTATAACTTTTTATTGTCAAGCCATTGGATTATATTTTTTCATAAAGTCCGTTGAAAACATGCTAACTTGCCGCTGTAGGCAGGATTTGCTGGATGCTAATGCTTTGCTGAATTGGAAATTAATCTCTTTGGATCCGCAGCTGATGAGAACTTATCGTTATCGATAATTACTCGATAAATTACATGATCGAATGTAACGACATTTCAATATAACAGAAAATTGAAAGTTAAATGCTACATGAATTCTTTAATCTCTCAAAAAATTGATTAGAAATTATTTGAAAACAATATATAAAATGAACACAACCGAACTTCTATAATTTCATACTGAAATCGGTAGATTATCTAACTATATGATTACCTTAAAACATCTACTGCAACAAAAATTTTAAAACGTTTCAAATGTCAAAGTTTTACAGTAGAACCTATTGAATAGAAGTGAAGATACAGAAGTACTTCTCACAATTCCTTTTATATTAAAAAGTGTTAAAGAAAAATAGAAAAGCTAAAAAGTATTTTAAAAAATCTAGAAATTGAGCTTTTCGAGTGTCCGGTGATTCATGGTAGAACACACTCATCGATCGACATTTTGTAGTTTAAAATCGAAAGAATTACTGTACTCACTAAAACACTTTTGGAGTAGATGATATTTTAAAAAAAAAATAGTTTATTAAAACTGATCTTTTAAATGTTTTAACAATTTCGATTAAATTCGATCTAACAGTATATAATTAAGTAATCTTTAATATTATTTAGGTCTTATCCCCATTGATGTCGCTTAACAGGGCTTAAATGCCTAATGTTCAGAATTTCTGTCTCTGAAATAATTAACTAAAAATTCATTGTTAGCAGTTATGAAAAATGCTAAATATAACTTTTGAAAGAATTTAATAATTGAGTAAAGGAGAAAAAAAGGAAAAATTCTTGACTAAGTCGAAAATAAATCTCAGGATTCAATATTCAGATTTAATAATCAGAAGATATGCGTATAATACATCGTTGGAAAGTGGAGAATTTAAGAGAAAAAAAAAAAACAATATCCAATAAAGATAGTCGTAGAAGGCAACAGAGAGTGACGAAAATAATACAAATAGTCATTTCCGAAAACTAATATTATTTAACGTGAATCCCATGTTTCCAAGGAAATTAAAATCTTGCTATAGTGATACTACGTATTTAAGGTATGTATATGCCTGGGATGTTAAAGCAACTTTTTCGCCCAAATTGGTTCACCGGAGCCTACTTTAGATTAAATTCAATACATGGATGGAAAATTAAGCAGTTTTTTATGTAATGTGGGTATCATTTTCATTGATGTTTTCTAACAGAACTTAAATGCCTAGTTTTATATATAGTGCTTAGTTTCTGGAGTTACGTTGTTCCAATAGATTAATGGAGTAACATATTTTATTACTTACCTTCAAAATTAAAAAAAAAAAAACCTCAAGTTACGGTAAACGATTTGTGTTATATTGATTTTTCGCATTAATAAAAGAGACCGAAATTCGAAAAAAAAATGTTATTTAAGGTTTAGTTAGCTCCCATAAAATGCACTTCAAGGACTTTTTATAGTAGCTCTTTTTTGCCAAAAAATAATTTCTACTCAAAGTAGTGTGGTAAGTGAATGTTGTGTGATGCGCGCACCAGATTTTTTGAAATAAGAAACTATATATTTTAGGCGCTTTTATTTCCTCTTGAATAACTTTTCTAGTTATTCTAGAACTCTAATACATTTTTTCTACGTATCCAAAGATAACTAATCATGATAAAGTAAAGATGTATAATTGATAATATATTTGAAAAATATTCATTCCATGATCTAATGTTCTATTTTTTTGTTTTCTGTTTAGAGCCATGAAATCATAAGAGTGTCCAAGTTCTACAGGGAGGCCCGCGATGGGAGGTTCATCAGCTACCTCACAGAGGACACGAAGACGCTCTACGATTCCTTCAGGAAAGGTGCTAAGTCATCCAGTAAGTGTTCTTCATCATAAAAACAAAAACGTATACGATGGTGACCCGTTATTGATCTAAGCCTCCTCTAACACACAATTGTATAGCTGTCCAATTCGATTGTCAAGCAGCAATCTATCATTTTGCTGTTATTCTATCTAGCAATCTTGCTTTTGGTTTTCTAGCAATTTGCAAGATCAAGATCAAGACAGCCTAATTGTTGCAAGACCGAGACCAAGACTAGTAAAATAAAAAGGGCGTTTTTAAAAATAAAAATTAAGGAAAAATAATAACAGATACTAGACGATTTTAGTTATCATTTGTAAAAAAATGGTAGAACCAATACACCTTTGAATATTTAATAGTTGACCGTTGCATTATAAAGGAAGGAGATGGTCAGGGGTGGCGGTCATAGATAGGCTAAATAGTGTCAAAACTATTTTATTAAAAGCCAACGTTTCGACCCGACTTTGCAGGTATTCTTCAGGGAGGTGTGTTCAGCTGGGAGTTTCACTTAGAACTCAAACGTTGGCTTTTGATAAAAAAGTTTTCCCATTATTTAGCCTATTTATAAACCCCACCCTGGACCATTTCCTTCCTTAATAATAAGACAACGGTCAACTATTAAATATTCAACATGACTCAAAAACCACGGGGCCAACAACGGCCAGATACAATCTCAGCACCTCTTCGCCGCAGTTCCAGACTCCAATTTTGAGTTCTAAGTGAAACTCCCAGCTGAATACACCTCCCTCAAGAATACCTGCAAAGTCGCCTCGAAACGTTGACTTTTAATGAAATAGTTTTGCCACTATTTAGCCTATTTATGACCGCTACCCCGCACCATCTCCTTCCAATATACTTTTGCATTTAACTCGTTTTCATTCGGTGTTTAGTTAGGTTTCCCCATTCTGAAAAATGATAGTAATATATCCTTATAATGTAATTAATATATATATATATATATATATATATATATATATATATATATATATATATATATATATATTAGTTAATAATAATCTTTAAAAAGTTATTAAATTTCCGACAAAAAGTAAACAAAGTCTAAATCAGACCAGTTTTAGCAACGTTAGAGTGAATTGAATTTTATACATCGATTTTAATAATTATTCACTGGCCCATCTACATTACTTCAGTTCATCAAAGAAATCGTACTCTAATGAAATATCTGATCGGTAATCAGAAAAATTAGTCTGATTCAATTGTGTTGTTTCAATGAACTTATTTAAAATCGAAAAAAAAATTGTTTAAACTCGGTAGGAAAGTCATGTTAATGGACACAACGGATTTTGTATTTAAATTGTTGGTGACATTATATAGATTGTCTTTGTTTCACAATTCACTATCACTATGTTTCTTGACAATGTGTTAATTTATTGTGAAGTTAATTGGTTTATTTATTTTATTATTATTTATTATTAATTTTTTTAGGATTGGGGTAGCTCAGTGATAGGGTACTGAGCTTCCAATGCTTAAGGTCCCAGGTTCGAATCCCGGCTTATGGCAGAAAAAGTTTATTCTGTTTCATTGGCCGTGATGCGACTCTGGGTATGTAGACCCCCCTGGGTTATGCCCAACCTCTATAAAGTGCGTACTCTTAATTAAAATAATTAATTAAGGGGTAAAACCTGGCGGTTGAGCGTGATCTGGTACTGAGCGTGAAACAATGAAACCATAGAATGGTACTGAACCCAAGACCCTTCACGAGTTGTAGTGGTGCAGGTATTTTTTTTTATTATTATTAATTTGGTTGGATTTTACTGTTCATGTCAATAAAACATATAAATGTACCTATTCTGTACCGTTTTTCTAAGATCTAAAGTAACATGTTTAATAAATAACAATAAGCTACTGGGTAACCGCAGGACTTTTGCGCAAGACCAACATTTTATTAAAAAAATTATAACCCTTTCGAAATGTGCCCCCCTCAAAAATTCAAAACCCCGTTCAATATTTCTCTTCCAAAAGCCTATTAAGCTATAAAATGAAGATCAAGATTGAGCCTTGGTCTTGCATTTGGATAACACTAAGGCAGACCATGGCAGAAACTATTATTTTGGACTTGTTAGGAATCCTCCATCACCACATATCACAGGCGGATTTACGGGGAGGGGGCTTTCGGGCTGAAGCTCCCTCTCCCTCCAAAACGGTAAAATATAACCATGTTTTATAGAAAAAAATATTAAAAACTATCTCTTGAAGTATTATTGTGCGTGTAATTACATTTAATAGGACACCAAGAATAATTTAAACACTATTTCATATAGGTAGTTCATTTCTTTCTTATTTAAAAAAAAAATAATTATCGTTATATATATGAAAACAAATCTTTCAGGCTGTGGCCTCCTCCCCCCAAAATTAAATCCAGAATCAGCTAGTGCCACATATATTATTGATCTTTGCCTCTTCATGTGTGATTCTACACATTGTTTTCAAAATATACACTAAATATTAAAGTGGTCCCACCTAACTCTTATATTTTGGTTTTAAATAATATCTGTTGACTGATAAGTATAATCAGGGGTGCCCAGAAGGAGGTTACGCCATTTTTGAGAGGAGCAATTTTTGACGGGGTTTTGAATTTTTGAGGGGGGCACATTTCGAAAGGGTCATACATTTTTTAAATAAAAGAACACAGAACACAGAAGCAGAAGAAAACAGAAAAATATAGAGATGACCACTGAAAGTGTAACTGTGCATGAGCTTTTATTTTTAAATTCTACTTTAGCTTGTACTGTTTATAAGAAGAGGAGACCAATAAAATATCTCCGACCTTGGGGATGATGGGCACCCCTGAGTATACCGAGTGATTTAGCAACTCAACACTGATGAGCAGTCATGTATTCTATTATTATTCTAGTTCTTTCTGTGTTTAAGTATACTTATAATTAAAGTAACATTATTAAGGTTTATTAACTTTTATATTAACTGAAAGAGTAGGATTGTGAAAGTTGTGAGGTGCATCGCAAATTAAATTATGAATTTAATAAAATTGTTAGTTAGGCTATGGACTATATTTGTTATTTTTTTAGAAATTGTAAGTAAGAAATGAGATATAAATAAGAATTTATTCAAAAGTAGGAAGCTTATTAATGTAATAAATCTATATAAATAAAATAAAGATTTTGTCTGTACATTGAATAGAATCAACCCGTTTTGTGATATCGTTTCGTTTCATACATTGCAGACACCAAATCCACTTTTAAAAAAAAAATTGTCTGTCTGTATGTCCGCATTGCAACAAAATTTTGTCAGAGGTAAGCTCAGCAATGGCTTATTGTAGACTTTTGAAATTTTAACATTATATTGAGGTTTGATAGACTTAAAATATAGGCTTTAAATGAAAACAAAATATTGAGTATAACCAAAGTTATGAATTCTTGAGTAATTTGACTACAGATCGCGGTTAATACTGATAATAAACATGTTTATAGGTTAAAGAACATCTATATAAATAAAATAAAGGTTTCGTCGGTACATTGAATAGAATCAACCCGTTTCATGATATCTTTCCGTTTTATACATTTCAGACACCAAATCTACTTTAAAAAACATTTTTTGTCTGTGTCTGTGTCTGGATGTTCCCATTGTCCAACGAAATTTTGTCAGAGGTACACTCGGCAATGGCTAATGGTAGACTTTTTAAATTTTGACATTACATTTAGGTTTGCTTGGCTTAAAATATGTCCAATTTTACTTATACATCCGTCAACGACGGGTATATCAGCTAGTTAAAACATAAGTGCATTAGATAGGTTGTCTAAAAAGATTTAAGGACAACATTCTAGGGCACGGGGGAGTCGAAAGGAAATCGACTGAAATCGATTAGCGTGTTTACAGTAATATATTCTCAGGGATCAGTTGGAACATCTCCAGACCACACCTACTTCACAAAATCGATTAATCACACAAAACCAAACAAACATTTCAATTCGTTTATCTTTTCTCTCATGAGATAAATAATTAATTAATGGATACTGCTCTACTGCGTAGAGTAAACTGATAATAATTAAACAAATATTCACACATAGCATTAACAAATAATTAAATATGTATCAATAAATAAATATTGATATTGAATAAAGTTGATTCTTCTTCTATTCTATTCTATTTTATTACATACATGGTTATTTAAAAACTTATCACATTTGAGCAACAATTTTTTCGAGAAAAAATAGTAGAGAAATAACTTCTCTTTCGACTTCTTAGCAATATTTATTTTTATTTTTTTAGGAAATTACTAATATGAGTAAACATAAACACCATCATGACCATAGATACGCATTGATGAACAAAAAAAAAATTATATTTTTTAATAGAGTACGGGCAGTCTTAACGTCAGATTATAATAAAATAATTGTATAAATACCCACACATATTATTACAGTAAGGCTCAAATCGGTTTAGTACCAAATATAAGCTCCTATCATGCTCAAATACCATGAATGGGGTACCGTTGGATTCAGAGTTTCACGGGGGATTAGCGAATCGTATTCTCCACTTTTGTTTTTCTTTCTAAAATAAACGAAGTCGATACAAACATTTTGCTAGGCTTCAATAATGGAACGGTGGTAGGTCTGTAGATCGATGGGGACAAATTGGACCTTGAAGATTTTGATGCAAGACCCGGAACTATCGGATCCTGCGTTTTAAGTCCAAAAACGTTCTATTTTCGAGATAAAGCAAGGCATGAGGTTCGCATCCACACAGCCTGACGTTAATTGTAGTACTGTCATTGAATCGTCGACTTCAGGCCTCTATGATCGAGAGAGGAGGAGTTTATATTATTTATCGATGGTGTTTTTCATCGGCAAGCCATATCGTTAATTCTTCACCAAATCTTAAGATTGAGCCACCAATCTCGAAAGTTTCCTTCCTCCTTCAGGTGGGCAAAATAGTCCAATCACCCCGAAAATTCAGGCAACACATTATGAAAGAAAACAAACTTTATTTGGGCATAACTAAAAAATTACACAGTTTTCTCTTGGTCATATCTTCCC